ACTTTCCAAGTCAGCAATACCTTTAAATTTTTCCACAGTATTTCCATTTATTTCCACATGCTTATCACGATCCAGTAATGCTACACAAAGAAGATTAATTGATTGACAAAAGTTCCGAAATTTTGCGGCGTTTTCACACCCATGAACAGGGATAATTTGATAACTTGTTATTTCCAGAATTTCTCTTGAAACCGTTGGACTGTCGTTCTTTTGGCGTAACTTGTCAAAGAGAATTTGCACAATTTCTCGGTCAGTTGGGCCTTCGACCAATAAAATTTTCGTTCCAAACAAAAGGGTCCTAAATGTTTCAATGGCGTGAACTTTGGAAAGTTCGCTATTAATTGGTAACCTTTTCACGCCACAAACGTACTGGTTTTCGTTTTCCTCTGATTTTTTTCGGAAGAAAATATGTGTTTCTTACGGATAAGGTATCAATAAAATATGGACTATGTGACGCAACAATTATAGTTTTGTGAAAACCTTCTTCATATAAGACTCTTTTTAAACGCTCAATCATCTGTGGATGCATTCCCCTGTCTGGCTCCTCTAAGCAAAGAGTTTGGATGTGTTTGTGTGCAAGAAGTAGAGAAACCTGTTTAGCTTCTAGTATTCCTACCTAGGTCTTCAACAGTGGATAGAATGGAGAATTACCTTGTTTTACACGAATTATTGTATATCCTGTTTTTATCTTTCTCTTTTTTAAAAACAAATTCTTGTGGAGATGTTAAATCTGTGAAAATGTTCTCTTCTCTTTTTAAGTCAATCAATTCTTCGTTATCCAAAAGTGTTGATATAATTTCTGCATGTTCGCTTGCTTTTAAATAATTTTCTTCTTTTTTGTCTTCTCCAATTCGTGTGCTTTTTGTCCACTAAGACGTTTGCGGGATTTTTTTGTGCGCATCTTTCTGCGCAATCGAAGCTCTTCAATCGAAGGAGTCTGGTAAAATGGGAAGGAATGTTGGTAAAATCAGGTGGCAAATGCTGGCCGGGCCAAAGGACAATTATAATTTATGAAAGGCATATCATTTTCTTTGTTTTTATAAAAAAAGAATAAGATAATAAAATTTTAATTTATCTGAAAATTTCAGTTCAATTATATAGGTATTTTGTAAGAAATTTGAAAAAAAATAAAATGTGCCCGGTTGTAAAAAGGTGCCTCATTTTACCAGGACACACAAAGATGGCGCCGTAGAGATCTGACATCGTCTGTCAAGCGGTCGAAACATGTTGAAAATGACTGATCGCGATCGAGTTGGGGGGAGATTTGTGAAAAAGGGTACAATGAATAGAAGATTAAACATGATGAAGATACGTGAGGCTACTGTGTAAGTATACATTGATATAAGAATTACACATTTTTTGTCCTTTCATATCGATTACTTTATCAGCGTTTTTATCAGCAACAGTGATGCATTTGATCTTTTGTCTTACAAAATGAGGCTATTGAGTAGCTATTGACATTTGACAGTATGTGAATTACATGGACTAATCACAGTAATTCGCAGACCTGGTTCAAAATTTGCATCTGGGTTGAACTTGCAGACTAAATATAAAGCTTATGTTTTTGATATTCAGCAGTAAAACAAAACACAACTTGGGTATTTATACAAATATTGATTTATAAATTTATAAATTTTATTACTAAGACTAGGTTGTTGTTTACTTTCAGGACTCAAAATGTTGCACAAACAGAAGGGCACACATGTGAATCGAATGATGAATCATGGAGAAAAGGGAGGCGAATCGTTGAGTTGGATCATATGGCGAAACAAATGAACTGTTGGGATTGTGGGCACACACTGACTTTAAATAACATCGTAAATGAAAGGCGTCAAGGGTTTGCTTCAAACCTGACTATTACCTGTGAGTGCGGTGTTCTGAATGAAGTAACAACTGGCAAGTCACACACAAGTTAATAAACGCGGACCTGCTGTGTTTGACATAAACACAAAGGCAGCTTTAGGTATTGATAGTTTATATACCATTATAGTCAATATTTAAATATAAAAATAACAATAAAAATTTTATGTGATAAAATTGAATACGTTGATTGACAGACATTTAGCAACAATTGATCATTATAGTAGAGGGTGGGGCACTGTCATGATTAGCAACTGAAAATATGGGCAAACTTTATCTTGCTAAGAAGAATTTACTTGTTTATTTATTATTCTGTTTTACCTTTTTTCTTGTATGTACCTTATTGCAGCTGAAGTAAGTAAAACCGTAAGCTTGTAGTAGTTCTACCACTATTTATAGTAGTGCTAACCATACATCTATCTGTTGTAAAATTACCGGTATACTGGGTAATAGCTACTTAGACAAGAATGTCACGCTTTATACCCTCCTTTTGTGGTGCTTGGTACTAACAATTTTGTAACCCTTTGCACTCCTTCTGTGCTACATGTAAAACCTATATTTCATTGATATATTTCTAACAGCTTGCCTACTAGATTAGAATAATGACTCTTTTATCACTTTTATAAATGTAGCTTTGATAGAAACAATTATTTAAAAGCTATATTGAATTTAATTGTTTGATTTGAAAATATGTAATTGCTTTCCTATCATAAGAAAACTTTAATATTCCTTTATATCATTATCAGCCATAATTTCTACCAGTAATTTGTTGTTTTTGATTTTTTAACATTCTTCATATGTGTTGTTATTAGACTGACATACGATTAGATATATATAAAGTGACCTTAAATTATTATACAGGTATGCTTCATAGTGGATCCGGGCACACACAGGTCACCAACTTTATGTCTTCCATAGAGATAGAGGGTATGCACCATAGAACTATGAAAGCCCGTGAGTGTGAAGTGGAGCCACATATCCAATCTGTTGCCCAGCAGTCATGCAGTGAGGCCTTATTGGAGGAAATACAGGGCAATGTATCAGCAAGAAGGTACATGCTATATGGTTTTTATATACCCAAAAGATCATGTTATGCCAAAGTGTCCATCATCTCCATCCTCTATAACACACTGAAATGACAGGTTTCCATACTGTTTCAAGTTCTGTAGGTCAAAGATCAACTTCACACTGATAGGTCCAAATTGGGGCTGGTTTATATATAACCCTTAGGCCAGATTTGATTACATGCTAAAGTGAGCTAGGATAAGCACAATTTATAAAAAAAAAGGAAGTGCTGTTATGAATAATTGATGACTCACTCTTATACTTTTGCTATAAAATATATACCGGTATACATTATTTCTTACGAGTCTTAAAATGAGTTTTCTTGTTTCCAGTGTAAATGAATCCAATGACGGTCAGCAGGCTCGCAGCTCTGGGGAGTTTAAGTACGACATGGGATGGCAGAAGCGTGGGTCAGGAAGGGCCTATAACAGTAAATCTGGAGTGGGAACATTAATCGGCAACAAGTCCGGGAAAATATGTGGCTTTGGTGTTCGATCAAAGGATTGTCGCAAATGTTCCTTTCATACAAATATGGGGAAAACTCCTCCAGAACATAAGTGCTGTAAAAATTGGGAGGGCTCGTCAAAAGCAATGGAGAGTAACGTTGCAGTTGAATTAGTGAACAAAATTGAAAAAGAAAATGTTGAAGTATCAGTGTTAGTTATGGATGACGACTGCACAACAATGGCACGAATCAATGAAGAAATTCCACATCCGGTGATCAAATGGAGTGACATTAGTCACACTAAAAAGCATCTTGGTAACAGTTTATACCAACTACAAAAGAAACACAAGAATTTCAACAACAATTGTGTCAAGTATTTTCAAAAATGCTTCTCTTACGCTATTGTACAAAATAAAAATGATACAGAAGCATTAAAGAAAAACCTAAAGCAAATAGTGCCACATGCTTTTGGAGAGCATGACCAGTGTGACTCAAAATGGTGTACTTATAAAACTAATCCTGAAGAGTTCCGCCACAAGTCCCTTCCATCTGGAAAAGATCTACAGGGTGATGAATTAAAAAATGACCTGAACATTATATTTGAAACATTTATCAATAATGCTCACAAGATTTCCCCTGCTGCATCTACTAGAGATGTTGAATCATTCAATAATTCAATTGCTGCAAAAGCCCCCAAAAGACTGCACTATTCTTCATCATCTAGTTTGCAAAATAGAGTTAGTTGTGCAGTAGCAGAGAAAAACATGGGCTCAACATACGTCAACAAAGTTAACGAACTGGTGGGTGTTTCGCCTGGACGAGTTTTTCAAAAACTTGCAGAAAAAAAAGACAAAACGCGCAAACGCAGACTCGCGTATGAAAATACAAGAGAATTCAAAAAAAGAAAACTTGAAAGAAAATTAAAAAACAGTACCATGAATTCCGCTTCTCAAATTCGGGAAGGAGTAACTTATCAGTCATCTGTTGATTTGACACAATCTGACGGCGAGTTTGTCAAAGAAATACCTGCTCCAAGCATTGTACCAACTGTCACTCCATGTATATTACCAAAGAAATATACCTTTGTGTATTGTGACATCGAAACAACATCTCTTAATAAAACGTGTGATATCATTCAGATTGCGGCTGTTTCAGAAAATGGCAAGTTTTCGAAATACATCTTACCTAGTCAACGAATTTCAACAGCAGCTTCTCAAGTCACTGGACTGACTGTTCATGGAAATGTTTTGCATTTGAATGGTACTCCTGTAACATCCGTTTCATTGCAACTTGCATTGGCATCATTTCTGGCATGGTTAGATGATCAAAAGCCTTGTATTTTTGTAGGACATAATTTCTTGAGGTTTGATTTACCTAGGGTCTTACGAAATTTTGAAATTTGTCATTTTCTTCATGCTTTAGAACCAGTTGTATTAGGTGTAGTAGACACACTACTTCTGTTTAGAGAAGTTTATCCTGGTCTGGAAAAATATTCACAAGAGTTTCTTGTTACATATTTTTTAAATGAAAACTATGCAGCTCACAATGCTGAGGATGATGTTCTTGTTCTTCAAAAACTTGTTCAACATGTAAAACCGTGCACTGAAGTTCTTGTACGCCACAGTTCAAGTATGCATACCTTGGTTGAGAAGTACCTTTTTGACAAAATTGTAGATAAAAACTTAAACACCTTGTTAGTTTTATGCAATGATAAGATACTTTCAAAGCAAATGTGTAAAAAGATTGCTGAAAGTGGATTAAACTTAGGTCATCTAAAACTTGCTCACACCAGAGGTGGTTTAAAAACACTCTTGTCTGAAAAATTCGATGGGAAACCTCGAGTAACATCAAAAAAATGTTTACTTGAAAAAGTAAATAAGTATTTTGAAGACAAACAGTAAGGCAAAACAAATTTTAGCTGAATGTAACAATAGACATTAGACGTTTAATTGGCTGTATTTGTACATGTATAGTTTTTTTGCATCTTAGTTTTACAAGCTCTGTATAGCTGTAAACATTTGAATGTATATATGGCCATACCAATTAGAAAAGTAAATAATATTTCTGTAGTTTTTTAATTTCAGCATTTAAGGGACATTATCCCTCTGCTAAGAAGGATAACTTCTTTTTTAAATTTTTCACAAATTCATCATAGATCTAATGTAAATTTGTAAATAAGAAAAACAAAACCCTGTATGTAACCTGCATTATACCACGTTGTATAAGGTTTTGTATTTGGTTTTAAAGTCATTGTTGTGTTCATGAAAATCAATATTAGAAATTTAAAATTTCCATAGTGAAATTTAGAGGAGAGGGTCAGGACCCCTTAAAGAGGAATTTCAGATGTAATATGTTGCATTGGGGTTTTTTTGTAATTGAAATCAAAATCTAAGAAAAAATGTATGTTTTTCTTATGTTGATGCATATTTTACAACCTCTGACATTGAAAAACGTCTAACATCGTGCTAGCAAATGTTGTTTTATTTACTAAATGAATATGATGACCCCCATTTTTCTTTATATCATTATTATCAGTATACTTAAATGTACAATATGTATGAATTTAAAAAAAAATAAATTCGTCAAACTTTTTTTATTGACTTTTTAATGCGTAAATTGTATAAATTATGCGAAAACAATGTACATTTGGTTAGATAAATGATAATTTGAAAAATGATATTCTGTTTGTGTTTTTTCTTATATTCAATCAATATCTGAATTCAACATCTTGTTTGTAGTGTATACTGACTTGTATGATAAAATGAAAAAGTTAGAACTCTGATAAATATATAAAAAGTAGTATATTTTTAAGATAGTGTGTAATTGAAAAATGGTCAGAATTTCACTCAATAATTGATTAACGGTCAGTTTTAAAAATTCTTCACAACAAAAAAACTAATCTGATAACCATACCTTTTCTTTTTATATTTGCATAAAGCATACTCTAAGGAAGGAAATATGTAAAAAAAAAAAAATAAATTCGAAAAAAAATAAATTCGGAAAAAAAATTATAGAAATCGTATTTATTTCTTTAGGCATGGCATCTTCTGATCAGCTCCAAAACAGTGCTTTTTCCACAAAAGCTTGCTCCCACGAAGAGATAAAAACTATTTCTCTCAGACTCAAATAAAATGATATGTTTTTCCTTGAAATGGACAAAATTGCAGAACTATTTGCTCAGCATCTGAAATGGTTTAAAAAAATTATTACATCGATGTGCAGGATTTTTAAATATTAGAGAATGGAAAATATATTTACCAAAATGATAGCTGCAGATCTGTAGCTATCCGAAAAAATATATATTGATAGACCCGGATAGCTACAGTGCCACCCATTGAAAAAACTGTATATTTATTGCGCACAAAAAAGTGCGCTCGGTTCTAGATTATTTCTTCCAAATTCTTACCTCAATTGCAAAAGAGGGAAGATTTAAAAAAGGTTTCTCTCTCCTCTATCAAGTACATTCGTAGTTGACATCGTAACGAAGCATATTCCAACTCAAATTTGAAACCAAAATGGCAGTATAAATGATCAAAATGTTCGATGATTACAATATCAGGGTCAGGAGGACTATTAAAAACAATAATGACGAAAGTTTTGTTGTGGAAAGAGTCAAAGAATATGTTAGGAACACACGGTTTGTAATATTTTGAGATTACAGTTTTAGGAACATGGAGAAATAAATCGAAAACCGAGCGCACTTTTTTGTGCGCAATAAATATACAGTTTTTTCAATGGGTGGCACTGTAGCTATCCGGTCTATAAATATATATTTTTGCATAGCTACAGATCTGCAGCTACCAAAATGAAAGAAAACAATAAACATTCACAATGGTCCATTTATGTATTAAAAATAAGTTATATTCCGGTATATTTCTGGTGGTAAAGATTTTTAAGCTTTGATTCCGACTGAAGCACGGATAAGCAGTGTACACACACAATGATTTACACCTCAAATTTGACTAGAGTTTTGCAATGAATGGACGTATAGACTGCTTTATTATAATATTATGTTAAGAAATCTAAGTTTGGTCATTATTCATATGCTACCTATATTTTTCAACATTATAGCAACCCCCCCCCCCTAAAAAACAATCAAACAAAAAAATATGTTGTATATATTTAAACAATAAACTATTTTTAAAAGTAGGTCAAATGTTAACAATTCCTTAGTGGGTAACTATGGTATCTCAAATGCCAACGTGTATGCAAAACAATGTAAGTAAAAATATTAAATCTTTACCCATTGCAGTTCTTAAAAAATATAGATATGACAGACGGACAAATGCTAATATAAAGTATTTAATATGTATCGTTTTTTCAGCTGGCCATACAAAAAAGACTGGACATAAGCCCCTCCAATAGAGCAAGTATAATGTGCAAAGAGTTATGGTTTGATAAAAATAACATAAGACCCAGGGCTATATATGATATTCGTGTTATGGTTTATACCACAACAAAGCGGAGGGGTGTCACTGGGTGAAATGGAATATACACCCCAAACCCCAACTGTTCAATGGAATACTTAAGATTCTTGCGAGGGACAGAGACCCTGTGTCTGGTGTACTACATGTAGATACGCTTTTAGGTGCAGATAACCATTGAATAATTTAATTCTGGTTGTAACGCTGTTTTTGATTGGATAAAAATTTATTTTATATAGTATAAAATTGGTTGCCTACGTCACAATGACTTGCGTCAAAAACGTATTAATCCGCCTGACGTTACATTCAAATGTTGTACAAATTGAAGTCATTTTGTTGGAACAATCGTTTTTTCTTACATCAAATGAATGAAAATTAAATTATAAGCAATGAATTTACAAGCTACCCATTTTATACGGTATAAACTGGGTTGGAACAGTTTACGCTTTTTTATAAACCGCTTAGCGGTTTATAAAGCGTAAACTGCCCCAACCCAGTTTAGAATCTATACCGTATAAAATGGGTAGCTATTAAATTTATTCCTTAAATAAAAGAAGTGGTAATAGTAATTGCCTTACCAATAACATGTTTGATAAAGGGTGATGAAACATGTGACATCTGATGGTACTAGGTCAGGATTGATAATAAAGCTAATTTTTAGGCATGCAGTTGCATGACTAAATGGAATGATAGACAAAAGATCTTTTACCTGGCAGCAGCATTGAGAGGCGAAACACAAACAGTTCTATAAGGAACATGAAAGCAGAGAATGCTTGTGCATACAGATTCGTGTGAGTCTTAAGATGCTTGCTATAGATTCGCACCGACAAATCATACGAACTTTGCAAAGGCATGTTAAAGAAAAAGCATCGGAGGCCAAAACAGAAATGTCAGAACACCGACTAGCATATTTAGTGTATCTAACAGCAACACGCGTACGTGTGGTTACAGAAATGTTTTTAATATATTCGATCAGTGCATACTATTAGTGCAAGATATATTACTGTAGTCAGCGGCGACTCACACAAATTGTTCCGACGAAAATAGTTCCATCATTAATAAGTAGATACAACATAATTGTTCATGATAAGAATAATGTTGTGTATGCCATACGTAAAAGAAACCAAAATTAATGTTAATTTTTCTTCCAAAGATCACTTTCCCCCCTAAATGCAAATAAAAAATGTTAATATTCCTACGCTCGCTCCCTCCTCAGCTTTTTTTTTCTATTTAAACATGTTTGATAACAGAGAATATATAGGTCATTCTTCGGTTGATATTTTTTCACTGATGAACCGATTATACTAATATCAACAACTGTAGTAAAATCATGTTAATTGTTCGTTAATTATCATATAGTTTCATCTAAGAGAAAAAATAATCATTCTGTGTGTTTAGTATATTAAATGACGGAATTTTCAATCCCTGAGCAGATTCCCGCACGTGTGTAGACAAACTACACATCGGGAGAGTACCTGTAAAATGTGTAACAAAACCCGAACTGGCCGGGGATTTCTAAACTGACAGTCGTTCAATTTTTATGAATCAAAATTTGTATTCATGTGATCTAATTATGAAAAAAGTTCTGCCTGCCATCGTAACTTCTCTGTTTTCGGGAGTCCGTTTGACAACTCGACGCACGTGTGTATAAACCAAGGCTAACTGGTCTTGCGGATATACATGTGGGTATGTGTACTGTTTGTTAGCATGGTTAGAAGACTACTGATCGTAATGCTACGGACTCACGAAATACACAAGTTCTATAACTAAACAGTGCAGTTTTATTTTTATAAACGTCATTAAACACTGTTAAACATATTAAATCTAAAAGTCGAATATCTCTGGATATGGGGTAACCCATATCTATTCTTGTTTATAGACCATTTTGTTAAATGCCTTTTCCTGACTTTTATATGCGTCCTTAAATGAGGCAGTTCGGAGAAACGGTGTAGAAGGAACGATGTTTATTATGCCAGACAAGCATTAATTGAATAACACGCCATCAGAAGCTGATACCTTTTTTAAACAATTATGAGATGAACTTCAATTGTCACTAAAAGTCCATTTAAGGTTTATTGCCTCCAGGCCTGATCCCACCTCTAAAGTTTCAGAGGTCCGTGTTTGCCCTGCTCCTATTTTGTATTGTTTTATGGACCTGTTGTTTTAAATTCTGTTCGTTATCTTCATATGTTTCATACATGTTCAGACAAAGCAATTTAAATTAAACTTAATGTATTACCATGCTGCGTTGAAAATGTCTTGGTCGTAATAGCCCTTTCAAGTCGTATATTCGAATTTTCTGGGTTTTACCTTACATAGTTACATGTATATATATCGAATTATAAATATCATTAACGATTTAAACAAAAGGTCATTACTTAGACCGAATTAACTTATCATACATATTTTGTTTGATTATAAAATACATGGTACTCAAAAGTTTTTTTTCCCATTAAACGAAGGCAACAGCGATTCTTGCTCCAAAATGTAAATATCATTGTCTATGAAGAGTTTTTCCTTCAGAAAGGTTTATGAAAGGTTAATGATGTTTAAATTATTTATATTAACCCCTTTTTATATATTGATTTAAATATAATTTCCATTAAATCTCTTAAGCTTTAAAAAAGCATTTTTCATGGGTGTTTTCGTTATTTGTATCGGGATCGGTGTCGAATGCTGCTCTGTTTAATAGAGCCCTATGTTCTTTTTGATATGGATGCTCTGCTTTATGTTGCCCTTAATTGTTTTATCAATTTACTCAATCCTGGTACTCTTTTTTAAAAATTATTTTCACAAACTTAGCAGCGATGGCAATACATATGGGGAGGTTGTGAACACTACACAGTAAATATTAAATTGCAGTGTAAGCTCAACAGTGGATAATACCGTGCTTTTAGTGTAAACGAAGTACATCCTTTGATAAATTGGTAAAATACATGAATGCATTGTTGTTATTTTTTGTATTTTCTCAACCGCTGCACTGGTGTAATTGATATAAATATCAAAAATAATAATAAAAAAATTTTCTCGGAAATTTTTGACAACATACGGAGAAGTTTATTAAGGGACTCCGACTTGAATTTGAACATCTCAGAAAGGTTTAATTAAAAGTAGAAATTTTTATCCCGAAAAAGCATTTTTAGATGGCAATGTTTATTTACATAATATGAAATTAGAAGCGCTTTTCAAAGAACCTTGAAGCACATTGAGAGGCATATAATGAAAATTGTTGCATGAAAATATTTAATTTTCA